ATTCGAAAACTCTTGGGGAGTAGGTTTCCCGAAACGAAATAGCGATATACAAATGCTACAAGTTCTTTATTTATATTATCTACTATTCAATTGGAGAATCACATTGAAAGGTATACACTCTGATCCGAATCTCAGACCATGACTATAGAGAAGTTTGAAAGTTTGATGTTTTTCTCCAATATTTATATGTTCAGAAATGGACATACAATGATTCCATTTCTGCCTTATAGAATCTCCGAGAATAGATTCACCTATTATACATAGAAAACATCGTTATATTCACATGTCTGATGTTTTGTTACATAATTTTTCAACAAAGAGAATGATAATATATACTTCTTTATCTTGATACAATCAAATTATCATGTCAATATCTTCCTGATTCGGATCAAACAGATTATCAAACACGAATACTACAATGTACGAACCTTTCTCAGCCCTCTTGAATTCTCCATAAAACAGTTTGAACCAGATTTGAGTAGGTATAGCAAGGAATTTCTATCGATTCAACTTGGCAACAATGCGCTACCGCTTGTTCCGAGTCTCCACGCGTCTCACACATTCTGGTATATTGACGGTCTGTCGATGTACGGTTCTGATGTTTTACGGGTCTGTCAATGTACGGTTCTGCCATTTTACGGTTCTGCTATTTCACGGGTCTTAATCCAAAAAATTCTGAAAATTTACGGGTTTGGTAGCTGCACGATTCTGCCATTGTACGAGTCTGTCATTTTACGATTCTGCTGTTTTACGGGTCTGTCGTTTTACGGTTTTGATGAATTATGGATCGGAAATTCCGGTAGTCCGATGGATTATGAGTCTGTCGATGTACGGTTCTTGCATTTTACGGATCTAGAGTATTGGCAGTCTGTGCTTTTACGAGTCTGTCATTGTACGGATCTTTCATTTTACGGGTATCAAAAATCGACAGTCTGTCTTTTTACGGGTATGAACTTTTCGCATTCTGCCATTTTCAGATTCTGTACATCACAATTCTGCCAGTTTGCTGGTCGGGAATGTTCATTCTGATGAAATGGTGGTCTACAGAGTACGGGTCGCTGAATTACAGTCTGTGCTTTTACGGTTCTATGACTTTACGATTATATATTTTTATGATTCTGACGACATGAAGAGTATTTTATTTACTGGTTTGGCAAAGTACACTTCTGAATATATGGCAGTCTTTCGATATACTATTGTGATTTATGCATTCTGACATAATGCAGTCTGTCAAAGTACGGTTCGACAAATTACGGGTTGTACATATTGCAGTCGCTGAAATATGGTTCTGATGATTTGCTATTCTGATTTCTTACTATTCTAGTCAAATAAATTCCTACTAATCGACGGTCTGTGTAGATACGTTCTGATGATGTATATGGACCCAGTACCAGTTACCCTGTATATTGATTACGATTCCTGATTTCGAACAAATTCCGTTGAAAAACAATTTGTTATCTCAGAACTTCAAGAACTGAGGATATTTTGATTACGCCATTTATAGGAGCAATGGAAATGGTGAAGCGTGATGTAGTTTGGAATGTTGGTAGGGTCAGTTGAGGAAGTTGAAACCTAAGTTTTCAGCTTCAAAAAGCTCGTGCTTGTTTCGTGAAAACAGCAAAATATCTAGACTTTTTTGAGATGTTGCTTGATAACTCATGAACTATGCGTTTTTGAACAGATGTTATGACAGTTCTTGAGGTAAAATGGATTTGTATAATTTCAGCTGAATTGCAACTCTGTACGTTAGATAGTTCCCAAGATATAAACATTTTTAGTTTTGCTCTTGATTCGGGTCGAATATCGATGTAACCACTGAACCTATTGAAGAAGCCTGTTATTGAAATTGTATCGGATCCTGGTGGCTTTCTTTTGAGCACAAAAGAGAGTCTCTATATCTGATAGTTCTTTTGGAATATAGAAAATGCTGATTGAAAAATTTAATTTTCGACGAAGTGTGCACTTTTCACAACAATTTGCAAATTGAAATATACTCATTCAACTAATTAACTTTTACAGTGTGAATAATCAATAATGTTCCTATACACCGAGAGGTAATTCTACGTATGAAATTGAAAAAAAAATCAAATCAACTTGTGTCCCAAAATATTTACTAAGGGTGCTACAGCCCTCTGAACCTTTTACAATTATCTTTGTCACTTTTGAAACCAAAATCATGAATTTCGATACCAATGGACAATTTGAAAATATGATTCAATAAACGAGGAGATGTGAAACTCGTAGCCAATATGTTATAAAAAAGACCCAACTATTATTTTTAGTACCACAGTGATACTCACATGGAATCCAGAAGAAATCGAACACAGAGCGGAACATACGAATGTCGAGATCGAGAAAGATTGAATGAATCATCCAAACGTTGTTATTCCGAAAACAATATAATTTCGCTAAGCTCATGCTCAAATGTATTCCACTCCATTTCATATCAGGAATGTGACAAACTACATATTATGAGTCGATTCAAAAGGCCCCCAACACCAACGGTACACCTTTTGGCAGAACATGTAAATAGTCCTGATCATGAACTAGATAACCACCCATACTAGGAATCCTGTTGATGGAATTCGACATGACTGATAGAACTCTGAACAGGAGAAATTGCTCTTCTATCTCTTCTATCTCAGATTGATAGCGGTGATGATGAACGTACATCAATCGGTCGCCTTCGTGCAAAGACCTAATGTGCTTCCGGTCTAGACAATTTTTTAAATCTTCACTAATAATTTGAGTTGATGATATAAACTCATCTACCTGCATAGCAGTGAAAAGTAGAACTCCAAGAAAAATACTAATAAATTGTGAATGGCAGACCTCAATTTTTTTGTCATGATACACAGCCCCAGTAAATAGCTCATTAGGCACGGTATGCAAACTATAACGCGCATTTCGAATATGCTATTTTGAATAATAGTAATACAACCACAACCTTGAACACGGGTGATGCATTTCTGTCGAATCTAGAAAGACCGTTTAGGACAAGTTAGAGATTGTAAAGAAAAAAACTGTCTGTTCCCTAATGAGAAAAGACACATTTGTTCCTTATATTACGTATACTGAACTCAGAGAGCATGATTGGTATTCCTATACGTTTGTAACAGTCATTGTGGGCCCATCGACTGATTATGATACAGTGATACACCTAGATTCGGCAACAGTTTATCTATCCTTCGTGTATGTAGGATTAATGAGATGTGAGACAATCGAGATGATCATAAATGAAACAAAATACTCTGAGTCGGTCGACCACACTTTATATCAAGAAATTTTAGATAAGAAAGTGACCGGTTTCTGCACAACGGCCATCATCATACTAAAACGACCTATTATGGGTCAGGAAAACGAACAAACCATTATAATCAGATACCATAATGAGTTTCGTGAGGGGTTGGATTCAGTTCCATTATTTGAAGCGACTGAAGAGCCAGAAAAATCTGACTCTAATTCAACATTTTTGGATATAATGTGTTGACGACCGACTCAGAGTCTTTTCTTTCATTTATGGATACTGTGGGGCCACTTTGAGAATGAATGATTTCCATAGTTCAATCGAAATATTAGTGAATGAAAATTGAAGCCCAATACAGCATACTCGGTGTACAATGTATGAATCGATTAAATATAAATCAATGCTTGGGTACTCCCAATCCTTACATGTATTATCAATAGCATATTGTTCAACGAGCACGGACTAATATTCGATTCTCACGAAAATAAAGTTCATATATGGGTCATATCGTACGAGTGAGAAATTAGATTTTCGTGCGAGTTACATACTATACGATGTCTACGGCTGTAACAGAAAACTGCAAAATTTTTTTTATCTCCCTCTTGTTGTAGCTGTCTCTTTGAGTATAATTTTCATCTATATCAGAGAGAGGTGTCATTGCTTGAAATTTGACATTTCACACAGGTGGAATTTTGTGGGATGATGACACTATGAAGTCTGCATCAAATAAATAAAAATAGCATTTAGCGTACGGATATGTACCACGCTAAATGATCGATTAATCACGGATTGTCGATATGTGATTTATTCTGAATATTGAACACGTTACCATGCCAACACGATTTCTTGAACACATAACCATGGCAACTCAGTTCATTAAACACAGCTTCAATTTGAGTCATGTCTGGCCTGTCAATTGTATCAACTGTCAACTGTTATTTCCAAATTTTGTATCAGAATCATTCAAACAATATTCGTTTGTATAAGAATTATTTATTAGAAATGTATGCGAAATGTAGACGTAAGTGAAATCGAAGAGAATGTTCTGGTACTTGCATATCTCCAAGAAGTGTAAAAATAAAGCATCCATCTTTGAGAACAATTAATTTATTCTGCGCTAAGCATGACACTAAACGTGAAATAAATGTTAGTCACCAATGGACTGTTCTCAATTCCCATTCCTCTCGAATTATTTTGTAGGTAAGCAGGAATAGTAGGTAGGTATGTTAGTGAAATTTTCGGAGTTCCCAGAAAGAGCATGTAACGCGTTTATAAACTCTTCTAGACACTCGTTCATTAAACACTCGTTACTAAAAGAAGTTTATAACACTTTTTACATGATATACTATTACAGCGTCTCAAAGCGAGACTATAATATCGAATTGAACGATATACCGTCATGAAGAATGTTTCATTAGGAAATATGCATTTGAATCGTTTCTCCTAAATCATACTATTGAAAAAAAGAGTACCTACGTCATTGAATTCCGCGCAAAATTGTCTCAAATACGTTGTTCTTAGCACAACATCATCTCCAATATTTTCGTAGCTGTCCAAAAAGTAGAGATTATTTCTGTATCTCATAGACGGAAACAGTTACCTATCCAAAATCTGATGAAAATTCTATCTGTAATAATAAAAAATAAGAGTACACTGTACAGTCATTCTCAGCAAACATGTCGCGATTGAACGATGTTATCAAACTGAAATGATTGTTTCTATATACTATATACTTTGTCAATGTGTCTTGCAGGTGCCAATTCTTTTGGCCTTAGCTTCGAACGGGGTATATGGTGTATCTGTCGAAAACTACGATGCAAGTAATGACCATCACAGTGAAGGACTTCAAAATTACGGTTACGGAGATGGCCAAAATCTTGGAAATGCCGGATACAATGGCCAAGAACAAGGAGGATATCAATCGAACGACATAGGCAACCACCAAGCACTGATATCAGAGTCTGCACTAGGTCATCAAGGAGGAGCATATGGTGAGATCTCATTACGAATTTGATGTCATTTCCATCATATTAGTAGTTTTCAGATATTTCATTTTCAATACTAAGAAATGATGTGGTGATCTATTTTACCAAATCATTCACTCCACCTTTAGAGGGTGTTCCTGAACGATAATAACATTTCTCGTGAACAGGTTTCTGAAGAATCTAATGAGGAAAAAGTGAACATCGATATATTTCCAGAACTTTCTCCTAAAAAATTCAGATATATAAAATAGACCACTTTGTGAAATGGTCCTCATTCATCTGATAATCTTGGCCCCATTGTTGAATCATCTATTTCTGTGGAGACTTTGAGAAGGAGATTGTATATCATTCTGCTCCTTCTTCATATGAGTCAATATTACATCGTTTCTATGAATATGACAACAAAAAGCTGACGAAGGTTTTCTGTACTCAGGTAGCAAAATGACTTGAAAAGACGACATATTGACGTCCATTTCACGTCATTTTTGGTCCAAGACGTTACCAAAATATGATCTAAAAATTACGTCATATTTCATGACGTCTTATTGACGTTCAATACTGGATACCTCAATAACGTCGTGATGATGTCTTTATGAAGTTGTTCATCCTTTTATTCAACCATCATCGTCTGTTGTACTGAATTTGGGTTTGCATATACAGTGCTTTCGTGGAGTACTGAATGAAATCATTACTAACCAAATTATCCATTCTTGAAGCATCTGCTGAAACAGGTCGATTTTTTTTCTCAATTTGCCATATTATTAGGGAAGAAGTAAATATCCAGGATGATCCACGTTCGAGTTATGACGACCATGACATTTTTTTTTGGTTAAACGACAACTCTATTTTGGAATAACTTGTAAAAACTGATTTCCAAAACATTCCACGCATGTGGATTGTTCACAGTGCGTTCAATGAATTCAACGCTCTCATGAGGTAGGTAGTGAATAAATTCAATTTCATTCATTATTGATGTCTGCGAATTTTTTCGGAGCAAAGTTTTATTTTCAACTTGACACATGCATAAGACGAAATCAAATATACAGGATGACACAATGTTCAAAATATGACGTCCTTGACACATTTTGCCATGTTGCCAAAAAAATCACTCTGTATTTCAAATTCATCTTCATGAATATTGGTATTTCAAAATGAGAATCGACCTGATTCAACAGATTTCTCACAATGGGATGGTATATTATAAATGGATGTATTCACTACTTCACGAGATCACTCAATTCAACGAACACACGGTATACAAATCCTATGTGTGATTCATTTCATTTTTGAATTCAGATTTTCATGGATAATCAAGAAATTGGATAATATATCATTCAGAAGTGCATGGATCACCCTGTATATCTGATCTTTTTTTATCGATTTGGCAAATTGATAATGAAAATCAACTTGTTGGAAAGGACCCCGCACTTTTTCTATATAAAAATGGCGTTCCGTCGAATTTCCCCAATTTTTGGTAAATGATAGTACTCGACATACTGATTGAATATGCCAAGTCCCAACTCAATCCTATGACTAGTTTACGAGATACAGGGTGTTGAAGTTGAAGAATACCTAATTTTTCTCGGCCTATATCTCTAAGATAGGACAAATGAATTCCAATTTTTCGGGAGCACGTAATAGTTATGCCCTTAGGCGCAAGAACTATATAGGTATTCGACCAAAACTGATTTTTATTACAGGGTGATTCTCATTTCAAATAATGTGTTTTTTTGAATATCTGAATATCAATGCTACAAATTGATAACAATTACAAAATGAGATTTATAGCCAAGTATGCTCTTCTTACATCAATTGAATTCGTAAAATATAATAATTATACATGGTGTTTCATTAATGCTGTTGATTGCATAATTGGTCTATCCTAAAGTTCATTGGGCCACCTCGTATTATCGGGTTGATTCCAGACATTCAAAATATTTTTGAAGGATGTATCCCAATGAGTTCCATGATATACAGAGTGATTCATCGATTGAAAAAATTGACAACCACGAAAAAATATTCAAAAACCACTATTTTTTTCATCACCCTCTAATTCGAAATTATTACCGTCGATGTAAGATTTTTTTCCACCAATATACTCAGTATGGATATTTCAATCAAATTGGGAATTTTCAGACCCATGCTATGACTAGTTTTTTTTATACATCGAATAATGTGAAAATAATTATGGAAAAGTAATTACATAATAACACGAAAAATTGCTCCGAATCGCAAAACTAGTAGTCACTAGTCAACTATGTCAAAAAATGTGATTTGTTCGTAAACAAAATCTAGTGGTCTTATTATAGGTCCGCTAGCAAAACATCTCGAAAATGTTTTTCAGAAAACATCAAACAAATCACAATATGCCCCCGAAAAAATCTCATCAACGACACAACTCATCAACGATCCCACTCATATAAACGTGCTAAAACTCATGAGCGTTCCAAGTCGACAGCGGTTTTTCCCAACTCAATCCTATGACTATACTTTTCGAAAAAAATATGAAACTAAACTTCCGCAAACGCCTAGTGAGAGGTGCGCGTTAATATATTTTGCAACTCTCCTTTATCCAACCAACTTCCAATCTTTTGATCATACTGTATATTGTTAGAATCGAAGTTAGTATATGCACATCGCAAAGACACTAAAGTTGGAGTTTTGGTTATGTAGATATTCGTTACCGGGTTCAGTATAGGCCTGAAAGAAAAATGTCAATTAAGAATTTCAATCACAGATTTTGAAAAAATAGACAAACCAACTCGTTTCCCCACCACCTGAGAGGTAGAGTTTCAGGCGCGTTTTTTTTATTGTGGTATCCCCTGTAGGCCTAGTCCACGTTAGAAAGTGAAAGTTCCAATACCTATAATATGATTGTGTGTAGGCAGGATTGGCGCAGTGGACGAGCACCCGAGTCAGGACTGCGGGGTCGTGGGTTCGATTCCCAGACAGCGCAAGGAATTTTTCGAATATTAATATACGAATTAAATATTGTGAAGTTTCGGAGCATCGGCTGGGGATAGTCCTGCACGATTCACTGTTGCGTGCCTACATACAATATAGATACATGTTCAGAACACTATAATAATAATAATAATAATAATAATTTATTTACCATGAAATTACAAATTTGATTGAACTTACATTACATGAGATATATAGCACATGGAGAATAAATGGGAGGAAAGCCCACAAAAGTAAAACTTGTGCGTGGGCCGATTTTTCCATCTATATGTTTGTGCGTGAGTTGGAGCTTGATGCAAGTTTTCATTGACGTAATTCATTCAAGTAAATGTTGTAAATTTTATGTACATGATAACGCACAAGGACATACGCATACACATATACATGTTAACAGTAATTTGTGTTGGTAAAAATGTATAATATAGTTATAAGATAAAATAGTTAAATTGTAGACAGTATTAGACAGTAAAATGTATAATAAAGTTATAGAGTAATATAAAATAGTGTATATAGTTGTGGACAATAATTGGTATCAGTAAAATGTATAATATAGTTGTAAGATACAATATAGTAGTGAAAATTGGTGAGTGCTATTTTATGTATAACATGTTATCAAGTGGTTATAGGGGCTAATATATATGTACATTAGAATAAGAGTATTTGATTAAACATTGTTACAAATGGGAACTTATTTTCTTACTAATATAAGTTAATTAATGTATGTTATGACCTGTTTGTGTATAGAATATTAAATATGAAATGGTAGGGGAGAGTCAGTAACCAACTTGTTATCAGCTTTTTGAATAGGTTATATGAATGTATTTTTTTTATATCTGGTGGTAGTTTATTAAATAGTTTAGGGCCAAGATAGGTAAAGCATTTTTGACCAATTGTCTTTTCTGCTCGTGGTATAGTAACTGCATTTATTCTGTATCTACCCAGCAAACATTGAACTAGCGGGAGAAGTCCGGCCTAGTGCAGGTTAGTCTGGGAAAGTGACGATGCCGGGGTATCGGTAATGGGCCGATGATTTTCCCATGCCAAGTAACCATCAATTAAAAATACGATGATGGCCTTGTGATGGTAAGATGTCTGGAACTAATTGAATACTAACTAGATCTGGCCCTTTGCTGGCCAATTTCATATTCACTAACCGTCCCCCTGGCGGATGTTTTGGGAACGTCTAGATCAACAATCAGCTGATCAATATCATATGTGACAAAGATGGCTAACTCTCGTGAGTGGTGATCGCGTACAAGTTTGTTTATGTCGAATTAATGTGGTCCTCTCTTTCCGTGGTGGTTATTTATGATGGCAGGAGTATTCTCAATCGATAATAATAGAAGACAAATTCTTCAATTATGATAATATTGAGTAAGTATCAATGTACCTACATAGTGTTTTGAATGTAATTATTTGAAGCATGTGTTTGGTATCTCGTAACCTCATATACCTAATGATTATGATAATTGGATTTAACTACACTTCTCTGAAAGCAACCATCATTTTTAACTCGTTTGTTGCTATCAAAAGCAATCTCAGGTTATGTGAATCTATCTCTATATTGAATAACTGAATAACAATAAGATTTCAGCTACAGAATTACCTGTGCCAACACCATAATGAGAATTGAAAAGCTCCATGTTATCACGTCATTTGACTATATTATCAAGTTATGAACTCATGCAACTCATATACCACTTATATAGAAAAAATGATGCATTTTATATTTCAGAAGTACCTCAAACAAAGAATCAACTTCGAAGGAATGCTATCCAATAAGATGTAGATACCACACACCAACCAACCAGTAAGCAGTCACTCCGAGAAATTTCATCGTTGAAGAACAGAGAGGTTGAGAAGATATCATTGTGTCATTCATAAAATTGTTTTCTTTAAGTCTGGTATGTGTCTGATTTATGATGAGAGGGTTATGTTGTGAAATAAAGAGGTACTAGAACTTTCAGATCCATTGGACCCCTAAAACCCCTACATCTCCCCTACCTCGATAGTATGTAACCAATGTCGTTAATTGGCCATTA